TCTAATACCCTAAAATGCTGTAGAAGTTTATCTAATCTTAGTACATGTGTACTACGAAACTTAAACTCCAACACACATGTGGATTTGTATTTGAATCCCCTAGCTAACCTGTATTTTACTCCAGCATGCTAGAGGTTCACGACGAGATACTTTTGACTTGGCTCCGAGATATACAAGGAGCGTAAGGACGTTAACCAAGGCTCTTACTTGTAGAAGTAACCTGTATTTGTACCCGATAGCTAATGCATGAATGTAAACTACATGTACATATGCACCGACTAATGCATCTTAATCCCATATGAGATTAAGCGCATACTATTAAAAAGAAAATATTGTGGGAGATGGATCAGATTGTAACTTAGTCTGTGGCACGTGTGTCTAACAACCCCCCCCCCCCTCCCAAGAATTTGTATCTCCTGTGCCGTTAGGTAATCTCGCCTTAAGCGTTTTTTATTTTTTGTTTGTGTTTTTTAATTTTATAATTCACGATAAATAAAGCCAGTTACCTAAACAATTTACCCTTTGTGAATTTAAAATCTGGGAATATAGAATTTTAACTGAAGCAACTCTTATCTGTGTGTAATAGCAAATCTTTTTATTTTATTATAACCACTTCGAGACACAGCAGAAACCAACACTGACAAAAAATTAAGCCCCATTTTAAACCTTATAAGTCTCATTATAACCCGTTTTATTTTATTTATTGATTGATTTATTTATTATTATTGCGTGACCATTCATACAGCATATGCCATCAGGAAAATACATAGAAAGAACCAGCACTGTGAGCCTTATCCAAATGAGCCTGCATTGACTTTAGCACCTGAAGAACTCTGTAATTTGTCCCTCATCCCTTTGTCAAACTGAATAACTTGAGTAAAATTGGTAAAAGTTCAGGGACTTTAAGTTGTATTTCCTATTTTAAGGTTCCCTAATGAGAAAGATAACTCAAAGGAATAAATGTTAGCTAAAATTCTCGTCTGTGTATAAATATTAATAAAGAAGTGACTAGACCCATACTTTTAGAACATTGTCAGGAAATAAAAGCCCATGCTGAAATTAATCTCTGTGTGAATAATTGACATCTGTGAAATAATCTATATAAAAAATTTAGTGATTAATCTGTGTGAATAATCAACATTTGTGAAATAATCTATATAATTTAATAAAATAAGTTTACCTGATTTTTCATGTTATCATAAGATGGTACAAAACTTTTCATTTACTAAACACAAATATATAAAATATAAGGCCTTTGTGCAGTTAAGGGGTGAGAAGACATTAAATGTGTGTGTCTTTATTGTGTTATCATGATATCATCAAACCTACTCGATTAAGGTACAGGCCCTGTTAGAGAAATTCATAATTATGTTCATGTAGTGTGAATGTACATTGGATACGGCTTCCAAATGAACGAAAAGCCTGACCTTCTTTTATTTTCTTTATGTATAATTTTAACTAAACCAAAAAGTTTACACAGAAAATATAAGCGAAACATGCCTTTGACCCCATCTCACTTACATGTAATCTGAACCCTTTGATATATATAAACCAACAAAATATTAGCTAGCCTTGCTAGATATTTACATGTAGTTAATTAAATTAAAATTTGGGGAATCCTGTTTATATCAACTAGTGAACCATTGAGGTCCTAAATTACTATGCACACATTGTTATTGTTCTGGTTGAGTCTGAAGTTGTCCCCCTTGTCAAGCCCCCTAGGAGAAGAGATATCCGAATAGGTGAGGATGCTGCTGGTCCTAATATAACTATCATGTAGATTTGACAGACAATGTACAATTCAACTCGGGTGCATGGAACCTATGCCCCCTAGATTTTACAGCCTGAATTGTTCATTGTAATGCTTCTATCCAACTGAAATTTTTCACTCGAAATCTATTTAGTCATCATTCATATTTACTTACCGTGAGTTTTATCATAGCATGTGTACAACTGTAAATTTGTATTAACAAATACACCTCTTACTTGATGCTTAATTCATATATAAACTAGTGCTAATTGTAACGGGGACCGTTACAGATGTTCCCCAAACGCTCCCCAAATCCCTTTTTGTGCCTAATTCCTGTAAGACATTTTACAAAATATGATCAGTATCGAAGGATTTCATCAAAGAATTATAAAAGGTATAATGATATCAACTATATGTCATTTAACGCATTGTACGCGCACGCACGTGCATGTGCAAGATGATCATAGCATGTTGTCTAAACAATTAGCATATCTATATATCGTGAGAATAAATAAAAAAATCTTTACAATATACATTTTAATGTTTTTTAAAAATATTGGCTCTTTTGCGTATTTCGCGCGCGCACTTGCATGAAAGAATGTTCGTGCATTCAATTTTGATAGTACCATTATGTAGGAATCCATGATACCTATTCATATTCTAAATTTTATCCCGTTTCGTTGAAAACTAAGAAAGTTATAGACAATTAAAATATCAGCCAATCAGATTGCAGCACACGTGCATGCGCATGCTTTTCATGATAAATTCTTATATACCATGCTGTAGATCTTTATAATGTATAACCATGTTCAAAATTTCAAAGGATTTTGTCGAAAAACAAGAAAGATACTGAGACTTTAGTTTCAGCCAATCAGAGCGAAGCGCACATGCATGCGCGTGAGATCTTACTATTTTGACCATGTCATCTAGTCTATGCTTCTGATATATCCTTATATTATAACTTTCAAAACATTTCATAAAAAAATTAAATAGTTACGTTTATATCAATTATATTGGACATTTCTAGTGTTGCACCTGCGCGCTCTTGCAAGCACACGTGCATGCACATTCTTTCATGACAATTCTTTTATACCAGGCTTTAGATCTCCCTAATGTATGACTATATTCAAAATTTCAAATGATCTTATCAAAAAACAAGAAAGATATCGAGACTTTAGTTTCAGCCAATCAGAGCGAAGCGCACGTGCATGCGCGTGAGATCTTGCAATTTTGACCATGTCATCTTGTCTATGCTACTAATATATCCTCATATTATGACTTTCAAAACATTTTATCTAAAATTAAAAAAGTTACGGCAATATTCATTATATTGGTCATTTCACGCGTTGCACGTGCACGCTCTTGCAAGCACGTGCGCGCAAAATGACCTTCGTTCCGCAAATCTACATAACATGCCTACTGACCCTAAAAAGGTTTCACCTTAGTCACATGTGTAGTTTACAAGATCATTCGCGGAAAAGATCTTCCCAGGAAGAAGAAAAATAATAATAATAATAATAATAATAATAAGAAACAGAGTAAAAACAATATGTTCCCCAACTTCGTTTGGGGAACATAAAAATGCATTATTGTAATATAACATTCAAAAGCAACACAACTTGTTCTGTATTTTACTTTGAACTATTTTCTTTCACAATTGATTACTGCCTTTGTCGCAATTCCATATCTTTCATGCCTCTCTTTGGCCCCTTGTTAAAGCTGAATGGCCTTGATTGAAAATTTATATACTTTAATTAGAGTTCTGTTCCCTTGTAAATCTAGCTAAATAACATTTCTAAAGACATGATGCAATAGATTTATCAAACTTTTATTATAATTCTCAATCTGTATTTTTTCTATTTATTCAGTTTTAAGGAAAAAGGTAGTATGGCGCAGCTATGGTAGCCCTGTCCTTGAACATTTATTTTATTTGTTTAATTATATATTTATTTATTTATCAAAATATCACAAAATATTTTAAATAAACTGATAAAATGCAACAAACCCAAAGCTACAAAAGCATACTCATATTGTAAGAATTATAATTATGGATATTCCCATTTGAATTTTCTAAACCCCTGAAAGATAGGCCAAGGAAACTAAGTATCTAAATATAGGCTAACATGTGTATGGATGTTTGACCAATGACCTTGAATAACATGGACCGAATAAAGTTGAAGTTCATAGCTATTTTTACATCAGCTCATTTTGTTTAAATAACATTTCACTAAGTACGCTTTTCTTCATTCAAAATCTGCTGATGAAGTTGGTTATTATTACCATATTGTTACCTCTTGCACCATGTGCCAAAGTTTTAAAGTATGGACGGGTGGCAAATCGATCTGTTTCAATCCAATGAAATATATGCCATCGAGCAAAATCAATGTTAATAAGATAACCCATGTTAATTCTTTGACTAAAACTTAACTTTAAAAACTAGAATTATGATAAAATATTTCATAATACAAAAAAAATAAATCGGATACTTTCATCACCCACCTTTCACTTTCATTGATGCATAGAAAAGGGGAGATAACCCGTAAACCTAGTGACTAAGTACCGACACTGTATGAATGGATAAATAAATTCCGGCTTATCTCATTTATTAGTTGTTTTTTTTTTCACAAAAAGGAGGTGAATGATGACATATAATATTGAGGATAGAGCTTTGATAACGACGCATATTGTGAGATGAACTCAAATATGCGGTATTGTATTTATTAAATCAAATAATTTCAAGTAGCATTTAAACTAGAAATGGCAATGCTCTTCTAAGTGCACGTGAGAACAATGAGTTGAAGAGTTACAAGAATGCCCAAACAAGTATTTACAAAATACTTAAACGTCATACCACAGGTACTTGTGTCGGTTATAAAATTTTAACCCCTAGTATAATAATAGCACAAGGTGTTATTATTATACTGTGGGTTAAAAATTTATTACTGAAACAAGTAACTGTGCGTCATACTGATAATGTTGATTTACATAAAGTCTAAGAGTGCATGTGAATGCATCGCAAAAACTGCATTTACACACAAAAAGTATTGGCATAATTTATTTTTAATTTACATGTGTTTATAACACCATCGTCGCAAACCAAGGCCAAAATGTACGATCCTCTCCCATTCTTGAGAGAGCTACATGCGGACTCCGGACCGTGGCTTGAGACGATGTTATTATACAGGCCTTTAGATAGCGCTTAGAAAAAAAATTGAGGAGTTAAAACAATATCTTTTTTTGCACACTCATTTTTAAGCGATCCAAGGCCTGTGGTATATAATTAAACGAGCGCATATGAATGGGGCTTAGTTACATAATTTTTGTTTATTTCTCATCTATATAACTTGCCATTGTTAGTTTCTTGTTGCATTTATATTATAGTTAGTTCATTGATACATTTTAATTAAACAATATATACATCTCAAAGTTTAAATAAACTGGACAGCAATCAGTAACTGTCTACTGTTTAAACACTGAAAAAAAAATTAGTGAAAGTCACTGGGAAGACTAGTAAATTTACTGTCCATACAATCACTACTTCAAAAGTAGTTTTACTGGGAATTGGGTAGATTTACTAGATAACATTAGTAAATCTAAGAACTTATAAGTAACTTTCACTAGGTATTTAAGTATCTTTACGACCATTACTCCACTTTTCACTATTTTAGCTAGTAAACAGAGTGATTACTAATCACGAAGAACGCTTTACTAGGCACACTAGTTATTTCTTTCAGTGAATCCTCCTCTAATAAGTCTACATTTTGCATGTTATATTGTAATAATTTGTAATGCCTTCGAAACATACACACATCATTTTCAATTATAACTATGACACCATTTCTTTCAACACAGGAGTCAGGACGTCCTTTCTCCTGATATAACAAGCACTATCACATGTAAGACTCAGTCTCTACGACTTCTATTCCTGAACTGGAAAAGCTGGAAAAGGTATCCTCGCGTACATAAAGCTGTTTTTCTTCCGTTCGATCGAAGTCACAAAACCGGCTACAAAACCATTTTCTACAGCTCCTACAAAGATAAAAAATTTTAAAAATCACTACAAAATGGTGCTATCATTACATAGCATTACTGTACACGTTATGTACTTGTACTAATATCTGTATAGCCTTTGCTTACCTGACCCTCTGGATGTATATAAGTATAAGACCTATTATTATTGGTCCAAGAATCATAATAACTATGACAAAAAATTCACATTCCTCCATCAAGGAATCGTCTCACACCAGAAATATTGTCAGCAACCAAACCTAGCACCATTTCTTTATTACACGACTTTAGGCCTATTACAACCATGGACACGATTTGTAAGGTCAGGCGATTTTAAAAAGAGATCATCTTTAAATTACTTTGCTCTGATTGTATTGTGAATTAAGATAATATTTCATTAGACTCGATTGCAAATTACATTACAATTCTTAATCACTCTTCCATGCTAGAGTCTCGTATAACCCTGTACTGAAAGATATTATCTGTTATGAAAATATTAAAGGACAGATAACTGTTATGACTCTAACCTTGTCTAAGCTCGATAAAAATAAAAAAGAGCGTTTTATTAATTGTAATAAAATTTTTGCTTAATATTTAAGTCTATTATTTAGATCTTAACTCGGTATATGAAAAAAATTTTAATTTGAAAGGATTCAAAATTGTTAAAACAGGTTTTAAAACAAACGACAAAAGAATGCACTCTGCTTGGAAAACGTTCGGTATATTTTGGATTAAATACCTGCAACAAAATTAATAAATTTTTATTTCATTGATTTCCTTACATCGTTTTTTACATTACATTCTAGGAGTACGTACATTTGTACAATAAATGGAAACTGTAACTGTTGATATTTGCGTAGAGGAAACATTCTAAATGAATGAACAAGTTTTGCTCTCTTCAAAGGGCAGGTAACTTTAAGATTTTTTCTTAGTTTTAGTATCGTTGCTCCACTCTCCTTTTGTAATCTTTTCTTTTCAGATCGCAGTCTCTCGTTTTCTTTTTCAAGGTCCCTGTAAGCATTAAAAAATAACTATCTCCCTTGTCAAATAAGAACTGGTTATTCACATCTTTGTTCAGTTATAGAAATAAATGAAGATATACCTGTAACGTTGGCTTTTATCAGAACTGTTAGATTTCTCAGACAAACCATCGATCTCTAGCTGCAACATTTTCACTTGTTCTCTCAGGGCTCTGTTTACAAAAGTTAAAAATAGCTCTAAAGTTTTAACAAATACATGTACTTTTATATTAGTGTACCGCTACAGGCATCTGACGTTACTTATCTTTTTTTTTTTTACATATAAAAAATAACCCCATACCTAGAAATACATTTTAGGTATAGTGATTTTTTTCATTTAAGAAAATTATTAAAGTAATGTCAGATGCCTATACATGTGTATACAGACAATGAAGTGATAATGAAATTCTAAATATCATGTTGACATTTTATAGTCAAATTTTTCGTTATCTTGAACTCGATGGACCGAAAAATAAACTTAAAGGATTTAGAATATTCAAGTTAAATGAACTAATAAAAAGTCTTTGAAAGTTCCAAATATATGTGATTTTGAGATATCAAATTTAGATTGGTGAGAGCTTGCCTCTGTGACGCTAAATAAGTCGAAAGTTTTGGACATTTTTCATCAGACAATGTTCATAATATATTATGTTTCGGACCTCATATGACTGTCGAAATTATTTTAAAAATCTAAAAAACTTTAAATGCGTGGTTATAAACAGACTCAGTGCTCTCGTTGTTGCTGCTTGCTGACTCCCTGTAGGCAGCCCTCTCCTGTTCTACCTGGGTCTTCATATCCCTAAAAGAACGTAACTCTTTCTCCAAATTACTGCAATAAAAAAAGTCAACTACAATTACATTCCTTATATAGAATATATATCACATAATGGAAATGTCCACATGAAAGAGAGTTACCTTTTCCTGATGGTGACTGCGTTCAGTTTGGACTGTAGAGCTTTCACCTGCTTCTCGTTTTCCAGTGTTACTTTGTCCAGCTCTTGTTGTAGGGCTTTATTTTTCTCCAGTAACTCCGCTAAATCTCGTTCATGCAATCTAAAATTAAATAAAATACATGAATTATTCAGGGGAAGATTTCAAATTTTCAGAAATCAAGTTCTTCTTCAGAGCTATTCCTACCTTACATTACATTCCTTTTTCAAAGCCGTTAGAATTTCCTTGTCTATTCTGAACTTGAAGAAATCGTGATACACTGGACGCAGTGCATCCGGGACTTTTTGGTCAAGTTTTCTTTCAAAGTAATGCGACTTCTGAATCATTTCCAGAGCGTTTCCTCTCTGCAAGCTCACTTCCGCCTCTTCTACAGTCTTTCTGATTTGTGCCAATTCTTTCGCCAGTGACGATCTGTGCTTTTTCATTGTCTCCAATCGATTGACATCCTCCTTTATCAGTTTATTGCCGATTTCCCTGATAATACCTATCATCTTCTCCGTTTTTGTTTCCATATCACGTGTAGCCATTTTGTCCTTCTGGGTGAAAGTATCGATAGCCGCTTCTTGTTTGGTTATTTGCTCTTGAAAATGTTTAATTTTTGTAGCCGAAACTTCGCTCAACAGTTTCCGTATTTTGGCGCTTTCTTCTTCTTCTTCTGCTTTTGTTTCCATTTGCGTCAAACTGTGCGAATTGTGCTCCGTTATGAGACATATTTTGCAAATCGGCTTGTCGCACTTTGCACAAAAGATGTCTACGTTTTCCTCTTCGTGCTTGTCACATCTTATGTTGTGAAGTAAGTTACTCTCGCTACCTCTGTTCGTCTTGGAAATGATAGTGTGCATCTTTGTCAGTTTACCGTGCTTGTGGATCTTGTAGCAGTTAGCACACATAAAATCAGAACAATTCAAACACTTCCATTCCACCGTAGCCGGTGTCCGACAGAGCTCACATTTTGACTCCCAGTCCGATATTGTCCGCTGGGATTTTGGTCTTTTGGCGTTCATTTGAATTTGATACACACTCGCATTAAGGGTTCCCATTTCATGACCCATTTCATGGCAATTCAGCGAATTCAAAATTTAAGGTATGAACAGTTTCCGAAATAAGTTAAAATTTTAAAGCCACACTTGTGTACACTCAACACTAATATAATATACATGTATACCTATGAACAACGCATTTAACTAGCTATGAAGAAAAAGTTTTCTTGACGATTTATTAAAACAATGTGGGGCTCTTTTACTATTCAAACCCAATCATGTGTCTATATTTCTTTATTTTCACCTTTATTGTCATTTACACTCAAAGTAAAATATAAGTACTGTAAGAAATTAATCGAAACGCAAATACTTCTCATGCTTTATTTTAAAAAAGTATTAATTAATATTAAATGTACATCCTCGATACTGCTTAAAAAATCTCTGAATTTTTCTTATGTTTGTATGAATTAATTAAAAAGGAAGACAAAAGTTTATCCCAACAGTCTTTCAGGTCTGTGTTTCAACAGAAGCAATATCTACTTTGTTTCTTTTTATAACGAAAGTTCGTCTTGGTTCATTGCACCTTTTACCATCCCAAATTCTGTCAAAATAAAAATAGAACATAATTAAAATTTATATACACACAAACACAAACAAAAAAATCTTATAAGATGAATACAGTGATGCAAAAATATTCAGAAATTTTCGAATTACATGTATATATTAATATACTTTAATAAGCAACTAAAATATATTCTCTCTGATGAAACTCATAGTGATGTGAAAATAATGAACGTGTCTACCCGAACAAATATTTCAGGTAACGACTGCGTTGCCTAAATTATTTTCAAATAAATTCATTGTCTTTGGACGATTCCTATAATTTGAATATTAAATGTATGATTCAAAATAACGAAATAGATTAAGATAATGCACAGTGATCGATCTAAAATAAGGTACAAACAATAGTGTTACAATAAATACAAATACGTGAATATGGCATTAAAAATGATTCTGGAAAATCCAGCAGTAAAATCTGGTTTCTGCTGATGTCTGCTCGACCGTTCACACCTACTTAAGCGCATGTATCGATCTATTGACGAAATGATCCGTATTCCAATTTTGTTAGAAACAAAAGTCTAAGGTTCCAGACCAAATCATACATGTAGGTTGTACTTAGTTTTGCTAACAATATCATTTTTAATGACTAATAAAAGATTTTTGGAATGATGACTGTTAACAAAGTTGTTGAAATTCCTGTATCATCAACTAATTTTTCAGGAACCTGTCTTTGCTTAAAAATTTAAATTATATGTATTCAGAACATGTTTTTGACTATCATATTGGTCGAGAGACATAAACATCATATGCACGTGAAAGGAGAAAAAAGGAAATTTGACGATGGAAAATCTAAAAACATCCTATTAGTTTGGTTTTAAGTTGACTATTATCATCTTTTTAATTACAATACCCACGTACTAAATTTAACAAATGTGACAGACTATATGGTAGCTAGCAGTATTTACTTCAAGTTTACTGGGAAATTACGTCCACCAATGAGTTAAACTTATTATCGTTTACTAATAAAAGTTTCGTCCATATACTAATATGTAATTGTAAAGTTAAAGCTATGTATGCCGTGTTAAACAGTATTTTTGCACAGCTGAAACCGAACAAAAATTTCTGCAGTATGATAAGCTACCAAAAATGAAGCATTCTTGCAAATTCGACGAAATTTTATTCGGTATTAACAAAGTACTAAAAAAGAACATATATTCCCAAATTTATAAAGGACTGTATATCCTGGATACACGCGGGACAAACACAAATCATCAAAAAATATTTTTTGTGACGTCTGTTCAGTGAGGGACACAAATAGACCAATCAGCTCAATGAGTTGCATTTAATGCATTTATATGTATATAAAATACTACATGTGTTTTTCAAAAAGGCTAGTTTTTTATTCTCTCTCAGAAATGATTAACAACGATGAAAATTAAAGTTTTCCCCACTCCATTGTACAGGTCCGTTTGTTTAAGTTTCCCCGTGCTGTACTACTAGTGGACATTTTCGGTTGGGTGAACATTTACCGATCTTCGTTGGAGCGCAATTATGCGCAAAAGATATTTTATGTCAAATACAATGTATGGAAAGTAATTTAAACTGCTATGTTTACCCTGAATGGGATATCGTCAATTATCCCTTTTCGTTTTTTAATATGAACTACATAACATATGTAGATGAAACTTACATACCATACATCTTGCCTTATTAGAAATATAGTTAGGCTAATAAAATATAATTGGTCAAGGAATTCCAGGCCTCAAAAAACTATTCCAGTTTGAGAGCACAACCAAGCATTTCGATGAACACCATTAAGAAAAATTAATTCAGGTAGGTAGCATCGGTTTTTTTTTAAAATTGGGTGGGGGAATAGAACAGTTAGAATAAAAATCAACTAGTTCGAAGAAATCTGACAAGTAAAATAGGTTCCAATATATTTCACTACTAAATTTTATTCATTCACTACAATTTAATTACTGCCAAACTCCAAATTTCACTTTCGAATTAGCCCGAGCCAATGTTGATAACCTACTTGCAAGATTTTTTTTTACATTTTTTTCAAGGGGTCAGAAATACTGTGGTTCACATGTAAAGAATATAATTATATTATCTAGTAGTACATTGTATTCTGGTATTGGCATTCGGTATATTGACGTGCAGATTTATATATAATTATGATATTCTGTGGAATACTTTTTGTTGTTTTGAAGCATTAAGAAATGCAGAATCGAATGTATCTAATAACCATTTTAATTGATCAAATTATATCATTTGTTGGCATTGGTTATTTCATTTTGGCACAACATGGTTTCCACACTTCTTTATCCATAGTCGCTGACAGCTGTAAAGTTCACCCAAAAAATGTCCATTGAAAAGACAATTGCACGTGATTATTCCTCGGGACAAAAAGCAACCAACTCTAAATAACAATCCCTAACTCACGTGTTTGTTTAAAAACGTAGTAGACCATCATGCTTTTCGGTTCATTCACGAGATTGGACCATTGTTTGCTGTAAACATGCGAGACAACGTGATCATGAATATTTCAATAAGAGGCGGTTTTTTATCCGACACGGAGAGAAAATAATTTTTACCAAATAATATTTCATAACTTTTAAAAGTAATGGAGTGGAATTGTCTTATTTGCAGAAAGTATATAACTTATATAACTTGATCAGACACTACATATATTTATTACTTTTAAAATAAAACACTAATACGGCATATATAGCTTTAATGTCTTTTTTCACAAAGGGGAATTGAATATTTTCTGCTTCATATGAATATCAAATAGATCGGCTAATGAAAGAACACATTTGGTGCCCATTTCAATTCCAACAGATTTTTGCCAATTTTTTTTTTTTTGAGGGGGGGGGGGTCCCAAAAACTACATAGATGTTGTTATTGAAACACTCCAGCATGTATGGTTGATTAAAAAAAACAACCTTTTCCTGTCCCCCTCGTCCACTCCAAGAACACAGCATGTCAGATACCTTTTTATTAAGATTTCTCTAAAAAAAATTCCGTGTCGGTTTCCAGTTGATTTAAACTTGTTCTTTAGTTTAAAAGCAAGATTCAATGAACTCGTTTTTATTTCGGTGTTTTTTCTGTACTAGTATTTGACAAATCGTTCTAGCATGTATGCATATTTGCAATAGCACTACCTCACTTTTTCAAAGCAAACATTTTAGTGATTAATGGAAACTGGAGTGCTGTACCTACTTGTATGAGTTAGATCAAAGTTAAAAATTAAACTTTAGTATGACAAAGACAAACCTGACCTCTTAATGACTAATGTGACAAATCCGATGGCGATGTTAGAAGCTGTGATGATGATAAGGACCTCCCACCACGTCATGATGCTAGTCACGTGATCATAACAAGGACTTCAGATGCTGTTGCTGGGATAACAAAAACCCCTGTATATTGTAGCCAGTCCACATGAAAACACACACCTGTGTCTGGTCTGTGTACGAGGAGATAAGGGAACCAGGAATACCCGTGTTGAACACTTTCATTTATTTATCGCTGAACAAATTAGTCCAGGTAAATTCGATATCAAACATGTCGCCTCTATCGAACCTATATTACTTATAATGCTTTCAAGTGCTGATTGTGACGTTTCTCCGGATCATCTGGACACGAGGTCAAATGTAAATAAACTAAATATGTGGCCCTCATGGTAAATAACTATTATTTAAGGACATATGCAACATAGTTTGAAAATTACTGTCTTTTCCCCCGGAGTTGAAGAGTTCCAATACTTAGGAAATCTGTGCTACATTTTAATGTCTATATTTGTTGTTGTACACTTCTTCAACACAGTTTGGATAAACAAAAAATCTAGTAAAATATGTGTAGCAATTTTTGTATTATTTTTCTTTGAATTATAAAGATTTTTTATCAATTGAAATCTTTTCAAAATCCCCGGTGATGCATGCTGATTTTTTTTGTCCGTATACCAGGAATTCAATTGAAAATTGTATCTTTTTAAATAAGAAAAAGAACAGTGACCTGCTGTTGTATTTATTAAATCCAATAATTTAATTCAAGTGGCATTTAAACAAGAAATGGCAATGCTCTTCCAAGTGCACGTGAGAACAATAAGTTGAAGAGTAGCAAGAATGCCCAAACAAGTATTTACAAAATACTTAAACGTCATACCACAGCACTTGTTTCGGTAATGAAATTTTAACCCCTAGTATAATAATAGCACAAAGTGTTATTATTATACTATGGGTGAAAAATTTATTACCGAAACAAATACCTATAAGTCATACTGATAATATTGATTTACATAAAGTCTAAGAGTGCATGTGAATGCATCGCAAAAACTGCATTTACACACCAAAAGTAAAGTTTGCATACAATTAAAATTTAGTGTTTATAATTAAATGAGTGCGTAGGAAAGGAGGTTTAATTAGATCACTTTATTTTATTACTGATCAATAACTTGCCATT